GCTCAAAGCACAGATGAGCAGCGCTGCGTCTTCAGAGAGATCTGACCCATTATCAAACTGCTTCAAGAATTCTCCGCTGCAAAGAGGTCACCAGATGGCTGGGACACTTCTGCACAAAGATTGGGACGCCTCCAACATCAAGAGCACCTTTCACAACTCGAGCCGGGAGCCAGTCACTGAAGTAATCCCATCACAACTCCCATCGGTTGCCTCTTCAAGGTAATTGGATTGAGGTATTTAATTTTCATCTTATGAAAATGCAACTCAGGGCTGAGCCCAAGTGCTGCATGTGTGAGAAAAATCCTCCCATGGCCATGAGTCACAAGATACACACAGTGTACTTCAGAGAGCTCGCAAGAGAAAAGCTCCAGATAGCTCAAAGATCTGGGAGGACAACAGCTCCTCACAGGTCCCCACATCAGCTCCAGCAGCCCCAGCTGGGGAGGATGCTCAGAGCAGCAGCCACGAGGCCAGGACAACCAAGCTGGAGATCTGTGCCCAACCTCAGAGCTTTGTGTCACCCTTCAAAGGGCATTAAGCAGCTCCAGAGACAAGGAACGGCCGGGTCTGACACCCTGATGGTCCCTCTGCAACAGGGACCCACAACAAAGCTGCTGTGCTTCTAGAAAAGCTACTTCTAGTCAACGATATTCAAACAGCAGCAACAGCTTTGCCCCGGTTTGCATCCCTAGAAGGTACTTTTCTACTTTTTACTGAAACATAACCGAATCGTGTTAAGCACCAGTGCTAAGGAAGCTTTGGTGAATTTGGGGGAAAAAAGGTTGGAAAAAAAAATTAGTCTCAGAGAAAAAGCTGAGGCCTCCTGGAGCAGCAGAGCTTGCAGTTTGCTTGGTTAGTTATGCAGATGAAGGCTATTTTAGAACAAACTTATGCTTTTAATTATTTTTGCATGAATTAGCAGGGCTGCTTCAAGGTAATTACACAGAGTACCTAAACCCAGTAAAATTGTGACAGGCTGAATAACGGGGTGTTTTAGGCACAAACAGTTCCACGCTGGCTGCGCTTGCACAGCCAGAGCCACAGAAATGTCATTTGCTCTGACCAGTCCCAGCAGAGAAGCAAAACTGGCTGGATTTGGCAACGGGACAACTTTGTGCATCCAGCAAGGAGCTTTGTCACTCAATGTCACACAGACACCCCCCACCCCGAGACAGAGCCCGGCACAACCTGACAGACCTTCCGAAAGGTGCTGAAGCACGGAGCTAAGGATACAGGCTAGCACCTAAACTAACCAGGAAGAGTTCCTGTGCCCTCCTCCATTTGGGCTGCTCATCCCAACTGGAAAAATCCCACAGGTTTCTACATCAGCAAAATCACATGTCTGCGCTTGCAGAGTAGCATTTTCCTGGAGGCAAATTAAGAGCAAAGAGGCCGAGTTCAGCACGGGGATTTGAGTGAGGACTCCCAGGCTGTTCCCAGCCTCCCAGGAGTGCTGGCTTTTGCTGCAGAAAGCATTTACCTGCCGCTGCAAACCAGTGTGTGCAGTCACTCAAACCATAGCCAGCGCCAGTTCAAGAGGAGCCGCCGATCGCATTCACACACAAAACAACCACAACATCACACAGGCAGGGGTTGGCATGACCTTGGGCCAATCACTATTCAATGCTCAGGTTTACTTTTGTTTTATATATATTAAAAAAAAAAAAAAAAAGAAACAAAAGCACAGGAGTTGCTCAACATGCAGAGCTGTTGTGAAAGGGAAACATCATGAAGTGACTTGAAATCCCTGCGCAGAAGCTGCTGCTCAAAGAGCTCCAGGATTACACTTACGCCAACAACCCCACAGTTATCCCACCTCCACCAGCATCCAAACCACTGTCTGGATGGAAGGTGCTGTAATAACCAAACCGAAGAAGCTCCTGGAAGAAGGGAGTACACAGCTGAATCCCCCTCTCCCTCCTCCTCTGCCCAAGAAATGATGATGCTTATGGAAGAGGGAAGGAAGTCGAACACACCAAAAACCTCCTGGTTTCGGGTCTGTCACTAATTCAAGCTCTCCTAACACCCAGGCTCGGTTAAGAGGAAAGCTGGGAAAGAACAACCACCCTTTGTACAAGCAGGTGCCTTTTTTTAACCTACATAACTCTGCAAAGCCCAAACTAGGGCAGTTATTTTAACGGAGCTGGGGATGAACGTATGGACTCCAAACTTAATAGATAAAGAAATACATTTCTTCAAAACTTCACTGCATCAGCAGTACTGCAAGTGGCTCGCTCCAGTTACATAAACCACCGCATGATCTCTTACAACCAGTTAATGATACGAGACACTATGTATCTTAGACATTTTAATACTATGTTATAAAAAAAAAAAGCTTGCTCAAACAATGGAAAAAACCTCATGAACTTTTCCATCAGCTTCTTGATGCCTTACTGAAAGGACATTTGTTCCCACTGTAGATATTTTTCTTATGGCAGTTAACTGTTCTGCTTTACCCGCACATTAATAGGGCTGCGTGTGGGGAGAGCACATTTCAGCACTTCCTTTGATTGCCAGGAATCGTTACACTAATTTTTAAAACTAGAAACCCATGACATTTGAGAGAGATTGCAGGTTGTAGCCAGGTGTAAACCTGATCTGAGATAGGTATTTTTTTTAAATGAGGGTAGATACAGATCACTACTCCAGTGTCACGCCATGTGCAAGTCCAATTATTCCAGGAGAGATTCTCCAGAGTGAGGACGTGCACAAGCCCTTACCTGAAGACACGCTCAGAAGCACAGCAATCGGGTATTTTGCTGCCATCCAAAGTCAACAGCAGTCCAAAAGGCAGCTGCTGCTTGTACTTTTAAAAGCCTCACCTAGTCTCTACTGCTTTGAAACCGATTATTGTACAACCTTTTGGATACTCCCTCCACTCTGTCATTCGCTGACGAGTTCAGACAGTCTTGGCCCCAAAGCCCTTGGTGCCTTTTCAGTATCGCTACAAAGAATGCAATACAGCAAAGCAAGAACCTGACACACAAAAAGATGAAGGAAGAATTATTCCATCCAGAAAATTTGTGAGTGTGGCTTACTAACACCAAAACGAACACCTGGAGAATTAAGGATTATCTTGACACACAGCCAGGAAGTTTTCTAGATACAGACAAGATCACAAACCTCAGAGCACCTTTTGCAAGGGTACAAGTGAAAACAGGCTCAGTGGAAAAAAAGATATTCTTAGGACAAGGATCACTTGAGAAGCAGAATTGTTCGTTAACACATCCCGTTCTAGCAGGAGACACTCAACACCGTTGTTCTGGTCCTCACAAACTCCATCTGTCTCCCCGAGATGGAAACCGTCAGTGTAAAAAAAAAAAAAAAATATCCTACCCTAGATGTTAGAAGAGGAAGACCTACATGACCAGATGGTCCCCCTACCACCCCACACTGCGCTGCCTGGTCCTGAGCTCACACGAAGCTGCAGAGAAATGGCACAGGAGTTCGCCCTGTCTCCAGCAGACTTCAGAGACAGGCAGCTTTTGCCTCCTCTGCACTCCAGTTATCACCCACAAGAACCTCTAAACATGGCTACCAAAATGTGGAAACAAATACAGCGAAAGTTCTCTGCTGAGGACAACCTGCAGTTCTTCGAAAGAGAACTATTCGATTCAGCTCTTTTCAAAACTCATGAACACATTTTAGCTGAAAAAAGTAAAAACACAGAGAAGTGACACTTCCTTTCTCAGCTGCCTGTACGGAGACTGCAGCGATGCAGCGACAACGATGAAGGTTTTTGCACTCCTGCAAGCTCTGCAGAACCAGCTCAGCTACGGCAAAGTACGCCGAACTGAAATCATCTTCCACGCAGTCAGATCCTATCAGGGATCTGTGGCAGCGCGAGGCACAGAGCGCCCAGCGTGATTACCATACCCCTGCCAAGGCAGCTCACATGCCAATGTGGGCACTTCCAGTCCGAGAAACACTGGTTCCCAGGGGCCATTTTCACCTGACTACCTGATAAAAGGATTTAATTCCACTACCCCATAATAAGCAAAAAGCTTAACAGCCAAGCCTCAACGCTCTAATCTCTGTATCCAACCAAGAGCACAAGTGCTCCCTTCCTTCCCATGAACCTGGAGATGCAAGGACGCCTACGCCAGCCCAGCGAGCACCTTCTGCTCTCAGAGCCCCAGCCCAAACCACCAGGGAGGGACCATCCCCCAGGAGCAGCCAAGAGGGAGCACAGGGAATATCTAGGCTAGAAACAGAAGAGTTACTTCATCGGGCAGCAGCTGGCTCAGAAAAAGCCCCATCCCAGGACAGCAGCACCCACCTCTCACCCCCCAGGAGGGCAGGACGGGCTAGCTCCTCCTCCCCCACCCCAGGGAGGGGATCAGGGACCCAAGGTGGGGTGAGGGGACAGGACCATACCTGGCACTGGGGACCCCGGGGAGAGCCGAGCCCTGCCCAGCAACACAAAGGCAGAGCAGCCACTCTAAGGGGTCTTGTCCCAGACCCACCCTGGACCCCCCAGCACCTCCCCACAGCTCCCCCAGATCTCTATCAGGATCCTGGCCCAGCCCTTCATCTTCCTCACACCTCCCCACCCCTGCTAGGAATCCCTCAGGATCCTCCCTGGCCCCCCCTCACTATTCCTCCCCTCACCACGCACCCTCTAAAGATCCTTTAACTTCGCGGATCCCCTCCTCTCCTTGAAGACCCCCTCAGACCACCCTAACGCCCTCTGGAGCCCCGGAAAACCCCAAGCCCCCTTCCCGGGGGCTCCTTCACCCTCTTCGAGCCCCAGAGCCCTCACAAAACCCCTCAGCATCCCGCGGCGGGCCGTGGGGCCGCCCCAGCCCCTCTCCCTGAGCCCGGGAGACCAACAAACCCGTTCCCTAAAACTCCCTGTGGCCCCTCCCCCCCCGGTACTACAGACCCCAACCTCTGCCGTCCTCACGCCCCCCGCCCCCCCCCCCCCGCGACCCCACAGCCCTCTCACACTCTAACACCCCCCTCCCCGCGGGCACTTCACCCCCCCGGCCCCTCCTCACCGAGCAGCAGCAGCTTCACCTCCTTGGCCGCCTTCTCGCCGTCCTCCCGCAGGTTGCGGTCGATCATCTTACTCCGCTCCACTGCCGCCTTGTCCTCGGCGCTCAGCGTACAACCCATGGCGGCGGCGGGGAAGGCCGGCGGGCGGCCCAGCCGCCGGGAACGGGATAGAAACGGGATGGGAACGGGACGGGATCGGGGCCGGTGCGGGGCTGCGCCTCTCGCCTCCCTCGGCCCGGGCGGCTCCCTGAGGCGGCGCCGGATATCCGGTGGCTCCGCCGCGGGGCACGACGGGAAGTGCAGTCCTCACGCCGCATGCTGGGAAAGCTAGAGGCGGGGCTTCCGCCTCGGTAGAGCGGGGCATGACGGGAGTGAGGGGATTGGCGGGGGGGGGGGAGTGGGTGGGGGGGGAATCGCCCCGCTTCCGCCTCGGTGGAGCGGGGCGTGATGGGAGGCGGGAGGAGCGCCTTACTTCCGCCTCGGTGGAGCGGGGTGTGATGGGATCTGTAGTTCCAGTGGGGGTGGCACACAGCAGCCCCCCCTCCCTCCCCCCCCCCCCGAGGGGGCCCAAAGCCCCACGGACCCCCCCCAAAGGGACGAACCTCGGCCCCATGGCTGTGGGGTGGGCAGCGGGGCCCGGGTGGGGGTCTGTGTTCCCCCCCCCGCCATCTGGACCCAAGCCGTTCAGGGGTGAAGGGGACCCCCCTCCTGCGTCACCCCAAAACCTGAGCCCCCCCCCCCCCCCCAGCTCCCACGCTCAGCCCTGGCATGAGACAACTGGCGCCCCCCAACCTGCCTCTCCCCTCCTTAAAACCCGGTGGCCCTTCCCAGCAAACGTCGTGGGACCCCCCCCCCGATACCCGGCAGCGGCGAGGACCCCCCCCCCACGCCCCCAGCGAGGCACTCAGACCAGCTCTGCCCTTGCAGCCATGTTTGCCCCCCAAACCATCGTGTCTGTGTGTGTGTGTGTGTGTGTGTGTGTGTGTGTGCGCCCCCCCGCCCCCGCCAACGCTACAGCTCCGGTTTGGGAGAGACGACCACCGGCACGTAGACCCCATCCCCACCGTGCCGCTCCGACCCCTCGACCGTGTCCTCATCGATCTGCCCCGGGATGCGAAAATCGACGGGGGGCTGGTCCCGCTTGGGGCTGGGGGTGCGGGGCCGGGGCTCGGTGGGACAACCAGTGCCCTGGAGGAACTGGAGAAAGTTCTCCTCGATGGAGCCCTCCCGGCTGGGCAGCCGCAGGTCCTCCTCGGGCGGCTGCTTGAAGAAACAAGTGAGGAGCCGTCCCAGTTCGCCCCGGATCTGCCGGTTAAGGCACCCGTAGAAGAAAGGGTTGGAGGTAAAGCAGAAGTAACCGAGCCAAGTGACCACGGTCTCGGCCGCCGGCCCCACCAAGGGCTGGGCGCTCAGGGCGGTGTAGAGGTGGAAGGAGAAGTAGGGCAACCAGCAGAAGAGGAACTGGCCCCCCACGGCCAGCAGGATGGCGGCCGCCTTGCCCCCCCCGAACGTCCTCTGCGGGGTGGTGCGAGGGGCTCCCGAGGTGGTGACCATGGTGGAGCGGCTGCTGAGCGACTCGGAGCGGTGTCGCGGCGTCTCCATCCAGGTGGGGAGGGGCCCGTGGTGCATGGCGGCCACCCGCGCCACCTTGAACATGCTGCAGTAGACCACCACGATGATGAGGAGGGGCAGGAGGAAGTAGAAGGCGGCAAAGAAGACCACAAAGAACTTGCAGTAGGGACCGCGGCTCCACTGCAAGGAGCAGCCGCGGCCGGCGGGCACCGGAGGACGGTCGGGGGACAACCAGCCCAGCACAGGGACGAGGGAGGTGGCCACGGCTTTGAGCCAGACGCCGACCAGGACACAAGCCACCAGCCCCACCGTCATCCTCACCTCGTAGCGCATGGGGTGCACCACGTAGTAGTAACGCTCGACGTTGATGGTGGAGATGGAGAGGATGCACATGCTGATGAAGCAGACGCTGAGGAACAGGTAAACGCGGCACATGGCCTCGCCGAAAACCGGGCTGTCGAAGACGGCCGAGCCGGAGAGCATCTCCAACGGCATCAGGGTGAGGGCGGCCAAGAAGTCCACCAGGCAGAGGTGGAAGACGAAGACGAATTTGCGCAACGCCGGCGTCTTCACGATGACGGTCATGACGGCGGCGTTGCCCACGATGGCCGTCAGGTCGATGAGCAGCATGAAGAAGAGCCCCACCGATTTAGAGGCCACGTCTTTCGGTTTGCCGTCGGTGGTGCCGTTGGGGGGCATGGGCCCCGGGGAGGGCTGGAGCCCCCGCGCCACCCTAGAGCCGTTCCAGGACCACGGGGCGGGCAGGGAGGGTTCCATCCTGTGCCGCCGCGCCGGCGCTCACCGGCCCATCGCCCATCCTCGGGGCGGGCAGCGCGGGGTGGCCGGGCATCGCCGGGGGGGGCTCACATCCTCGCCCGCCCTACGCCTGCCTGCCGGCCACGGGTCCGTGGTCCGGGGACGGGTGCTGCGGCGGCGGTGGCACTCAGAGCACCCAAGGGTGCCCCCAGGCCCCGCTCATCTCCCCATTTCTCGTCGCTGGGCAGCGCCGGGGACCTGCAGGGAAGGTTGAGCCGTCAGAAGGGCGGGGGGCACGACCGTGGGGGGACACAGGAGAGCCCTGGGTGGGTCTCAGCCCAGCTGTGACCCCCAGCCACAGCCCCCGTCACCTCCGGGGTACCCCCTACAACACCCTCCCACTACCAAACCACTTTCCTAACCGAAAGCCTTGTTTCCTCTGAAAATGAGCAATTCAGCAGCTGAAGCCCCCAAACTCCAACATTTCAACCCCAAACACCCCAGTAAGATCCTTCGCCCAGAGCCTGGGGACCACGAGGGGGGGTTGCGGGGATAGATGGGGGGTCACCGGCACCCCAAACACCTGGGCTCACCCATTGTGTTTCAAGGGCCATGCATGACCCCCCACACACACCCTGAGCCCATCCCTGGGATGGGTGCTGCCCCCCCACCCCAATGGGTGCCACCAGCTGCAAGGCAGAGCCCCAGCATGTGGGAGGGGGGGGAAGGGGGGGCTGGGGGGTCACCCCGGAGCCCCCCACCCATAGGTGCTTCCCCAGCGGGGAGGGGGTCCCCATCCCCTGCACCCTGGGGAGCCTCCGCTCTGCTGATGGAAAGGGGGGGTGCAGGCAACGGGTGCCCCCTCCCCACCTCCCACCATCCCCGCTGCCCCGGGGCGGTGCCCCCACCTGGGGTCCCCCCTCCCAATCCCCCAGTTCTTCCCCCCCCCCCCCCCCCCAAGCCGCATCCCTCATCCCCCCACACACTCCCTCTCAGGGCATCGCCCCGGCGGGGAGGCTCGGCCGCGGCACTTACCCTGGGGGCTGCATGGGGCCGGGAGGGGGTCGGGGGTGTCCCTGGCTGAACGGGGGTTCGGGGGCCCCCCCGGGCCGGGCGGGGATGCTCGGGGCCGGGCCGGGGCCGGAGCCGCTGCGGCGAGGGATGCTCCGCACCCGCCCGGCTGCTGGGTCCTAAGCGCCTCCCGCCAGCGCGGCGGTACCCCGGGCACGGCCCCCCCCGCGCCCCCCCCCCGGCCCCGCTGGAGCTGCGGAACCCCACGGATAGCGGGGTGGCAGCCGGCTGGAGCTGGGGTTTGCACACACACACACACACACACACACCGTGGATGAAGGATGGAGAGTGGGTGCGGTTCTGGCCCCACGTGTCGATTCGGGCCTCAGTTTCCCCAGCCGCCCCCCAAAGGGGCTGGTGAGGGGATGGGGCAGGGGGGGGCACTGGAGAGGGTTGGTGGGGAACTGGGAAGGAGGAGCCCCTCGGGGGTCTTGGGGTGGGGAGGCAAAAGGGGGGGTCGAGGGGAGGGGGGTGACAACGCAGGAGGCACCCAGGGAACGGGGAAGGAGGGGACAGGGGGCAGATCCGTAGTGGGGGGCACAGAGCGGGGGTGGGATGGGTGCAAGGGGATGCACAGGGCCGGTGGGGGGCTGCTCAGAGGGGCCACAGAGGGCCCCGGCTCTGCCCACCCTCAGTCCAGTGCCCCTTCCCTTGCTCCCTGTTCAGCAATGGAGCAACTGGGATCGGGGCAGTGCCTCCCCCCCCACCGCACTCCGTGCCTCAGTTTCCCCAGGGCACAGCCGTTAGCTTCCAAGGGGGATCCCCATCACTTCCAAGGCTCCCTCCCCCCCCCAAAAAAAAAGCCTGCACAGGCTGCGAACTTCCTCCTGGCAGTGCCCTGGACCCCAGCCCATGGGTGCCCGGGGTGGGGGGTCCGAGTGGGCCCCATCCCCAGGGCCGGTGTGTGGAGGGCAGCCGGCGGGCGCCGCGTGTCCCTGCCGCAGGCCCCGGGCGTCACGTGCCCATTGCTAGGTTACGAGGACCCAAAAATAAATCCATCCAAACCAGATTAGAAACGCGGGACCTCGGATGAACCGACCCCGTCGTACCGGGGCCCGTAGATGGTTGCCGGTGGCTCCCCGGTCACCGCAGGCACCGGTCACGCCAGCACAACTGTCTCCCGGTGAGTAGGAGGGCTGGGGACCCGTGGGAGCACCCATCCTGCCCCACATCCCCCCCTCACCTGCCCTGGGTCCTGCCCCTTGCAGCAGCACAGGGATCAATCCTGCCCCCCCCTACACACACACCTTGGCTCGGTAACACGGCTGTGCACCAAAATCCAGGAGGGCACCCTACCCTGGGGGCCCACCCCAACCTGGGGGCCCACCCCACCAGCCGCTGCCTCCTCCCTCCCTCATCCTGGTGCAGATGGGGGTTCAGCCACGCTGACACACACCCCAATGTTTTGGGGGGTGTCCCACTCTGAGGAGGTGCAGAGCCAGCCGCCAGCACCCCCTGAGCTAGGAAGGACCCAGCTGCGAGGAACGTTGCTCCCCTCTCTGGGTGTCTGAAACGGGGAGCACATGGGGTGGATCTTGAGAACGGAGGGGTGCTCTGAGGGTTTTTCTCCTCCCTGGGGAAACTGAGGCAGGGAGCCAGGGTGGCTCCTGCCCTGTCACGCCGGTATCAGCACCGGCACAGGCAGATTTATGGCTTCGCTGTTTCCTGCCACCGGAGCATCAATAATTCAGGGCCCGGGCGGCTGAGCTGCCGCTGCACGGCCCCACAGCCACCTGCAAATTCCTCCTGTCCCCCTCTGAGCTGCCCTGAAGCTGGGGGAGACACCCCCCCCCAGCTCTGGGGGCACCCCACGCACCCCCAGCCCCTCTGCCCCAGCTGTGCTGGCCACCCTCCCTGGCACCCACCCCACATGGGTCCCCAAAAGCAGGGCCCCCTCATGCAGCCCCCAGACCTGGATTTCCCTCCCCCACCCCGGTTTTCCTCAGGGAGGTTTTGCCCCCTGAAAAGGGGCTGGCTGCTGGCCCCCCCACCCCACAGCCCAGCCGGACCCCTGGGGGACTCAGCATGATGGGTGCTGGGGGGAGCTGCTTTGGCACCCCGGTACCCAACCACCCTGACAGCTCAGCATCCTGCCTCCCCAGCATCTTAGCACCCCAGCACCTTGTCACCCCAGTACTCCAGCACCCCCAGTACCCCATTATCTTGGCACCCCAGCACCAAGAAACTATGGCACCCCAGTACCTCAGCATCCTGGCACCCCAGTATAGCAGCACCCTGTGACCTTGACAGCCTGGCACCATGATGTTGTGGCACCCCAGCACCTTGGCACCCCAGCACTGTGGCACTCCAGCACCCTGGCACCCCAACACCCCAGCACCCTGGTACCCCGACACCCCGGCACTCTGGCACCCCAGCACCCTGGCACACCGGCATTCCAGCACCCTGGCACCCCGACACCCCAGCACCCTGGCACACTGGCACTCCAGCACCCCTGCACCCTGGCACCCCAACACACCAGCACCCCAACACCATGGCACCCTGGCACCCCTGCACCATGACACCCCAGCGCAGTGGCACCCCAGCACCCTGGCACCCCAGCACCCCTTCACCTTGGCACCCCGGCACCCCAGCACCCCTGTTTCCTGTGTGCATGGCTGAGGGGTGGACACGCACACATGCACACGTATGGCAGGTGCATCCATGTGCGCGCACACACGTGTGAACCTGGTGGGTTTGTAGGCGTGTGTGACTGAGGATGCACACACGTGTACCTGGTGCACGCGTGTGTGCACGTGTCTCCAACGTGTGTGTGTGTGCACACTCAGGCATCTGCATGCCTGCCCGTGTGTACATGCCGCACACGTGTGTTCCCATGTAGCACACACACCTGCAGCTGGGCCGCCGGCACCGATCCTGGCCGGCACACTGCCGGTGCTGTGCCAGCTCCCCCCAGGACACCCGGGTCCCCCCCAGGTCCCCACTGTGGTGGCACAAGGATGGGGACACCCAGCACCCACCGATGGGCCAGGGAGGTTGGGGTGTGGGTGCTCCCAGGCAGGGCACCCCGGCTCTAGGGGGGTCTGGGTGCTGGGTGGGGGCCGGGCTGGGCAGGAATTAGCACCTGGATTGAAGTGAAGAAATCAAGGACAATCAAAGGACAAAATTCTACCAGGTGTGTGGGGGGGGGGACTATGGCAGCGGGGGGACAGCACAAGGTGGCACCCAACTGTGAGGACTGCATGTTGGGGTGCAGGGAGCAGCTGCGGGGGGGGGGGGGCGACGACACATGACAGGATGAGGGGCACCCTGGGGACACCCTGCTCTGTGTTGCAGGGGGTCCCCTTTAATTACGGCCCCCCTCCCCCCTTCCCTAAAATGCTGCATCATCTCAACGCGGCTTATTCCGGCTCCTTCCCCTCTAATTTTGGACCCAAAAAAACAAGCAGAAATGTTTTGCATCTAAAAATACACCCGGGAGGCAGAGACACAACCGTGCTCGAGGGGGGTGGGGGGCCACAGGGCACCCCTGCCTGGCCGGGGGTGGCAGCACCCAGGGGTGCTGCTGGGTGGGGACCCCAGGGCAGGATGTGTCCCCTCCATCCTAGGGGTGGCGGGTGGCACTGGGATGGGGTCGGTACTGGGGAATTTGGGCTGGAATGGGGGGGGTGGGCCAGTGCCACGGGGTGTGGGCTGGCACGGTGGAACGTGGGCCAGTTACCACCAGTGGGTACCAGCACAGCAGGGTGGGGCTGGTTTGGGATGGAGTTGGGATGAAGGCGGGATGGGGATGGAGGTGGGGCTGGGGTGATGTGGGATGGGATGAGGATGGTGTGGGGATGGGGACGGAGATGGGGAAAGGATGGGGATGGAGATGGAGGGGGAGATGAGGATGGGAACGGGGATGAGGATGAGATGGGATGGGGATAGGGATGGGGACGGGGATGGGGACAGGGATGGGGATAGGGATGAGGATGGGGACAGGGATGAGGATGGGGATGGGGACAGGGATGGGGATGGAGGATTGGGATGGGGATGAGGGTGAGGATGAGATGGGATGGGGAGAGGTATGGGGATGGAGAGGGAGATGGGGATGAGGATGGGCAGCATGGGGATATGGATGGAGATGGGGATGATGGGGATGGGGGCAGGGATGGGGATGGGGACAGGGGGTCGGGATGGGGATGAGGGTGAGGATGAGATGGGACGGAGAGTGGGATGAGGATGGAGAGTGGGATGAGGATGAGGATGGGGACAGGGATGGGGATGAGATGGGACGGGAAAGGGGATGGGGACGGTGCCGGGGCCGGTTCCTCCCGAGGGGCTCAGCCCGGGGGTCGATGCGCGGCCCACGAGGGGTTAAGCGGGCGCTGCCTCCATTGGTGGGGGGCGACGCGGCGGCAGCCAATGGGGATCGGCCGTGCGCGGGGTGCGCCGCGCCGGGCCCGCCCCCAGACCCTGTCCCGGGGCCGCGGGTGCGCGCGGCGGGCGGGGGCCCCGGCCCGGCCCGGAGCGGGTCGGATCAGATCGGCTCCGCTCGGCTCGACTCGGCTCGACTCGGCTCAGCTCGGCTCAGCTCGGCTCAAGCTCGGTTCGGCCCCTCTCGGCTCGGCCCGGCCTGGTTCGGCCCACCCGTCTCGTCTCGGTTCGGCCCGGCCCGCTCGGTTCCGTTCGGCCCCGTTCGGCCCCGCTCGGTTCCGCTCGGTTCCGTTCGGCCCCTCTCGGCTCCGTTCGGCTCCGCCCGGTTCGGTTCGGCTCGGCCTCCCCTGCCTGTCCTCCACCGCACCGGCCCCGGTACCAGGCCCCGGTAACGCCCCGGGAAGCGGCGGGGGGGGGGGTGGGGGGAGCATCCTCCCGCGGGCTCCGTCCGCAGCAAGGCCGGGACCGGGGGAACCGGGGGAACGGGGGGGCCGGGGCCGCCTCCGCAGAGCCGGGGGGGGGGGGTGGGAGCGGGGCTGCGGCAGGCGGGAGCCCCGGGGCAACCCACGGGCGTTCTGTGACACGGGGTGACAAAGCCACCCCACGCTGGGACACCAGGTGACCAAAAGCCACCCCCTTGCCGCTTCGCCAGAGGGGAGCTGCGAGCCTGGCGCGCGCGTGCACGGCAACGGGCGGCCAAAGCCACCCCATGGTGCCTGCCGTGACACTGGGTGACAAGGCCAGCCCACGCTGTGACACCGGGTGACCAAAGCCACCCCGTGCTGTGACGCGGGGTGACCAAAGCCACCCCGCGTTGCCACACCGGGTGACCGAGCCACCCCATGCCATGATGCCAGGAGAGCAGCTAGCCCAGGGCACGCTGTGACACCGGGTGACCAAAGCCACCCCGCGCTGTGACACTGGGCGAGCAGCTAGCCGTGACACTGGGTGGCCAAAGCCACCCCGCGCTGTGACACCGGGTGACCAAAGCCACCCCGCGCGGTGACACTGGGCGAGCAGCTAGCCGTGACACCGGGTGACCAAAGCCACCCCGCGCTGTGACACCGGGTGACCAAAGCCACCCCGCGCAGTGACACTGGGCGAGCAGCTAGCCGTGACAGTGGGTGGCCAAAGCCACCCCGCGCTGTGACACCGGGTAGCCAAAGCCACCCCATAAGCACGTGCTGTGACGCCGAGTGACCAAGCCACCCAGCGCCGTGACACCAGGCAAGCAGCCAGCTTGGCCCGTGCTGTGACACGGGGTGACCAAAGCCACCCCGCGTTGCCACACCGGGTGACCGAGCCACCCCATGCCATTTTGCCAGGAGAGCAGCTAGCCCAGGGCACGCTGTGACAGCGGGTGACCAAAGCCACCCCGCGCTGTGACACTGGGCGAGCAGCTAGCTGTGACGCTGGGTGGCCAAAGCCACCCCGCGCTGTGACACCGGGTGACCAAAGCCACCCCGCGCTGTGACACCGGGTGACCAAAGCCACCCCGCGCGGTGACACTGGGCGAGCAGCTAGCCGTGACACCGGGTGGCCAAAGCCACCCCGCGCTGTGACACCGGGTAGCCAAAGCCACCCCGTAGCCCCCAGCCTGCCGCGCTGGGGGTGACAGCCATGCCGGTGCCGTGTCCCCCACCCCCGTGTGACACCGGGGGGCGGCGCGCGGCCATGGGGGGGTTCAGGGGGCCGGGGGCCCTGCTGCCGCTAATGCCACTGCTGCTGGCGCTGCTGGCGCCGTGGGGGTCCGCGGGCGGGAGCTGCCCCCCGCGCTGCGTCTGCGCCTCCAACATCCTGAGCTGCTCGCAGGCGGTGCTGAGCTCGGTGCCGGCTCCCCTGCCCCGTTTCACCGCCGTCCTTGACCTCAGCCACAACAACGTCAGCCGGCTGCGCGCCGACTGGGCGCCGGGGCGCCTGGCCCACCTCCACGCCTTGCTGCTCAGCCACAACGGGCTCTCCTTCGTCTCCACCGAAGCCTTCGCCCACGTCCCCCACCTGCGGCACCTGGATCTCTCCTCCAACCGCCTCCGCGCGCTGGAGGAGAACCTCTTCAGCGACCTGGCCGAGCTGGAGGTCCTCCTCCTCTACAACAACGAGATCTCCGCCGTGGACCGCACCGCCTTCGATAACCTCAGCCGCCTCCGCAAGCTTTACCTGGGGCAAAACCGCATCGCCCGCTTCCCCCTGGAGCTGCTGCGCGACGGCAGCCGCCTGCCCCAGCTCGCCCTGCTCGACCTCTCGGCCAACCGCCTCCGCAGCTTGCCCGTCGGCGAGCTGCAGGCGCTGCCGGCCTGGCTGCGCGACCGCCTCTACCTGCACGGCAACCCGCTGGCCTGCGACTGCCCGCTCTTCCAGCTGTTCGCCCGCGGCTGGCGCCGCCGGCTGAGCGCCGTGATGGATTTCCAGGAGGAGCTGCGGTGCTCGCTGCCCACCGCCCCGGCGCCCGTCGGGATCCTCGCCCTGGCCGGGCGGCAGCCGCTCAACTGCAGCGAGGCGCGGGAAGCGGTGCTGGAAGCCCACCTGGGTGACACGGTCACCCTCAGCTGCGACACCCGGTTGCGGGGGGTGCGTAGCCGGCACTGGGTGACGCCGGGAGGCGAACGGGTGCTGCAGGAAGGCGGCAACGGCAGCGCCGCTCTCCTGGCGAACGGCAGCCTGCAGCTGCGGGCGCTGCGCCCCGAGGACGCCGGCACCTACGCCTGTTGGGTGGGGGGTCCCCTCCTCAACGAGACCCTTTACGTGGAGCTGCTGGTGCACAACTTCACCCTGCACGGTCCCCACGACACCCTCAACACCGCCTACACCACGCTGGTGGGCTGCATCCTCAGCGTGGTGCTGGTGCTCATCTACCTGTACCTCACCCCTTGCCGCTGCTGCTGCTGCCGCGGCACCGACAAGCCGCCGGCACCCCGCGACGACAGCATCAACTCCTCCGTCCTCAGCACCACCCCCAACCACGCCACCGGTGTCCCCGGGGAGCCTTGCCGGTCCCGGTCACCCTCCACCGCTGGCCCGGGGCAGAACGGCAGGTTCAAGGTGGGGGGGACCCCCCAGCCGCCTCCCCGGCACGGCCCCAAGGTGCAGAGGAAGGTGTCGGATCCGGACTCGGTCAGCTCCGTCTTCTCCGACACCCCCATCGTGGTGTAAGGGGCTGGGGGGGGGGGGGGAAGGACACACATCACGGGGACGGTCCCCAGGGACACCCCATGTCCCTGCCACTGTTGAGACTTGTCCCCAGTGGATGCGCTGCGAGCAGGAGGGGCAGCCTGGACCCCCCCCCCATCGCCACGTCCCCCCCAGTTTGGAGGAGGAGGAGGAGGGGGGGGTTGGGGGTGACATGCCATCACCCTACCCCCCTCCCCGGACTGAGCATCGCTGCTGCCCACCCGCACCGTTCTCTGCCAAGGTCACCCCCACCGTGGGACCGCGAGGGACAAGTGGGGGACAGCGTGGGGGGGGGGGCACCGGCCCCATTGCCCACCAGGCTCCACAGGACCATGGGTGACAGCACCCAGTGCCCCCCCCCGCCCCCTCCAGGGACAGCAGCACTGTATGTGTGTGTATGGGGGGGGGGGTGGGGGGTGTCCCCCCACTTTGGCAGGGCAGCCACCCCCCCTCCCCAGCATGTGTATCGCGAAGCATGAGTCCCACGGGGGGAGCATGTGCCACCCCGGCCAACGCTTGGCTGGGACACACACACACACACACACACACACATACATGGGGCATGTCACCCCCCCACCCCCACCCCGGGGGTGCAACCCCTTCCCCCCAACACCTTCCTGACACCCCCCTGCAACCCACAGCCACCCCCCCACCCTGCAAGGAGCAGGATCCCAGGGGCTGTGGCACTCCAAAGGGGGGTACCCCCTGCAACCCCTGGCCCTGCACCCCAGCCCGTGTCCCCTGTGTCGTCCCCCCCCCACACACACACCACCCCCAGGCCGTGTGTGTGTCCCCCCCCCACTGGCAGCTGCCTGCTGATGCCTTGGCCAAAATAAACGTGTTTCCCCATCGTGCCTGCGCAGCCCTCGCCCGGTTTCGGGGTGCTAAAAGGGTCGTTCCCCAAAATGGGGTCCCCTCGCTGGGTGTGGGGAGGGTCGGGCTGAGCCAGGGCCCCTCCTGCCACCTTGGTCCCCATCTGGGGGATGTGGTGGGGGGGGGGGTGTGGTGGTGGTGGTACAGGGAGGAACAAGGGGTTTGGGAGGGGGGTGGGGGGGGAGCTCACCCCGGTCACCCCCTGGTGCACCCAGGTTCCAGGGGAACCCATCCCAATGCTGGGAGGAGGCTAATGCTCACACCCCCTCACACCCCACTGACCCCCACCCCAGCATCCCATTGACCCTTACGGACCTCCACCGGCCCCCCCGCAGCCCACCTATGGCCCCCAGTACCCCCACCCCCCCACTCCTCAGGCCCTCCAGCACCCACCTCTCACCCCATGGGGGACACCCCACGGTTCCCAAACGTGATGGGAACCTCCAAGACACAGCCCACCCCCCCCTCACCCCGCTCCCACTCCACACCCTCTACAGTACCTGGCTTTTTTTTTTTTTTTTTTTTTTTTTAAAAAAAAAAAAGAAACAAAAAACAGCAATAGTAATTCTTATAAATATCCGCGGTGGCCCGGTGGCCAGTCCTGGGCCAGGACCCCCCCGGCCGCGGCCGCCTCCTCTCCCGGGGGCTGGTTTAGCAGCAAGAGAACAACTGAGAGTCTTGAGGTATTTTCCTGGAGGTTGTTTTTTTCCTTCTTGTTTCCTTGGGGGGGGGTGTTGGGGTTGTTTTTTTGTCTTTTTTTTTTTTTTTTTTTTTTCCCCCCCTCCCCCGCTTCATCGACTTTTCGGCATTTTCCAGTGGGGGCTTCCTCACCCCCCTGATGGAGGGACGCAGGGGGGACACCCGTGCTCATGGAGGGGGGTGGCCCCGGTGGCCCCTCCGTTAATGGGCTTTGGACTGTGGGAGAAGAGATGCTGGGTCAGCCGTGGGGACCGACCCTGGGGATGGGGGGGCTGGCGGAGACCCCGGGCCCGTGGTGTCCCCCGAGCGGGTTAGGATGTCCCCAGAGGGAGCAAGCATGGCCCCAGAGGGTCCCCACCTCAGCCCCCCACCCAGGGTTAAGGTGTCCCCACAGCATCCACCCCCCACCCCCAGGATGTCCCAGCACAATGTGCCCCCCCACCCTGTGCCAGGTGGCACTGAGAGAGTCCCCAGTGTCCCTGACACGGGCACGCCCCATGGCATCCCCCCACCTGGGGCCAGTGTCCCAGAGGGTCTCTGGTGTCCCCCTACCCAGGACATGAGTGTCCTAAAAGGTCCCCGTGGTGCCCTCCACCCGTGCCATGCTCAGAGGGTCCCCACAGCACCCCCCACCCATAACCAGTGTCCCCCAGTGTCCCCTACCCGAGGCCAGGGGGTACCCAGAGGGTCCCCCAGTGCCCCTCACCCGGGACATAGCCGTCCCTACGGTATCCCCAGCTTGGGGCCACATTGTCCCCCTGAAACCAGAATGTCCCCCTGGTCCCCCCCCCCCAGGACCAGGGGGTTCCTCAAGGCACGGGGGCACACAAGCAGCCCCAAGCGCTGGGTGGAAGTGGGGCCCCACCTTGTCCCCTGGGGGTGCTGGTGGCCCTGGGGGTTGCCCCCCACCTTACAGCCTCACACCCCAATGCCACTCCGCACCCCCCAGGAGCACCCCAAACACCCGCTCCCACCCTTCCCCCCCCCCACACCCCAAAAATCTCAGCAGGGACCCCCATCTCATCCCTTACCTTCAGGGCGTTCCGCTTCTCCTCAAAGCCCAGGGGGGTCCCCGGCTTCTTCCTGCGGATGGAGCCACCCGAGTCGGGGGGGGCCGAGCCGGGGGGCGGCGGGGGGCCGGGCAGGGGGGGCACAGGTTTGGGCTTGACGGGCCGGCAGTACGTAGCCGCGTTCTTGCGCTTCTTGACCTCGTCCTCGGAGATGCAACGGGGGGAAGGCGGCAGCGGCGGCACCCCCGGGCCGTGCAGCGGCGAGCCTCGGGGGTCCGCGGCACCGGGGGGGCCGCGGCAGTCCGGGGGGGCGAGCCGTTTCACCCGCGTCGTACCGTTGAGGATGGCGGTGGAGGAAGAAGCCGGGCAACCCGGGGAAGGGGTGGGTTTTGTCTTGCTGGAGGGGGCCAAAACCTGGCAGCCGGGGTTTTTGCTTTTGACCCCGTCCCCCGAACAGGTCCGTTTATAGGGGGGGCCACCAGCGGCCAGAGGGGGCTTCCGTTTGCGGGGATCCGGATCCATCCCGCCGGCCGCTTCCCGGGCTCGGGAAGATTTGCTGGCCTTGGTGGAAGGCAACTTGCTGAAGGAGGGCGAGGGGATGTTGGCGGGCAGCGGGGAGGTGATGGACTGGCTGCCCCCCCCCCCCGCACTCCGGCTGGCTGCAGGCGGCCGCTGCGTGGGGGGACCCCACCGTGTAGTTGAGGCTGGCGGGGACCCGGCTCTCCCGGGTGCCGGGGGGGGCCGCCGCCAACGAGGTCCGTGGGGGGGGCGAGGGGATCGGGGCAGTGGGGCCGCAGGGGGGGGCAGTGGGGCTGGGGGGGGGGCGGGGGGGCGTGGAGAGGCGGCTCGGCGGCTGGAGGGATCTTCCTGTGGGAGAGGGAGGGGAAGGGTGAGACGGGACCCCCGCCCCCACATACACAAATCCCCATCTCTGCACAACCCCCCCACACACCCCGCTCACATCCCCCAAAATTCCGGTGGGGAGAGAGTAAGATGGGGACACCCCCCAAATCCCCGCTTCCATCCCAGCATCCTCACCTTGCGCTCCCCAGTTTAGGCAGGGAGGGGATGAAATGCATCCCCCCCCCCCCCCCCCCAAATCCCCACTCCCATCTCTGTCCCATCCTTCCTGATTCAGGCAGGGAGAGGATGAAACGGGACATCCCCCCCCCCCCAAATCCTCACTCCCATCCTTAACCCCTGCAATGTGCTCCCCAATTCAGGCAGGGAGGGGTGAGACCGGACCACCCCCTCCCCCAAATCCCCACTCCTCTCCTTGCCACTCCCCCCCCCCCCCAATTCAGGTACACCCCCTCCATGCCACACCGGGACCCCGGGGCAGGTAAATCCCACCGTGGGGCTGGGTGGCTTTGCACCCCGGCACCCCAGCACACACTGTTGTGTCCCCCCACACCCCACAACCCCCACCAAGGCCGCCCCCCGCCCCCCCCCCCCCCCCACCTCCACATGTGGGAGCTGAGGTGCCGCTCCAGCATGGAGCCCAGCGCCGAGCAGAAGCGGTCGAGCCGCCGGTTGAAGACGTAACAGCCTGGGCTGACCAGGCGGCTCCCGAAGGTGCAAAACTGGGGGGGACACACACACACAGAGTCAGCGTGGCCCCCCAAAACCCCCCACCTGGCACAAAGCCAGCAGCAGGACTCAGCCGGCTGGGCTGGCGGCAGGGGTTTGGGGGGGGGGGGGGGGTGTCTCCATCCCACCCTCGGGGTCCCCTCACTCACTGCCTGGGGCCGTGGTGGGCGCGTGGGGGGCCAGGGGGGCTCCTCGCCTCCCTCCTCCTCACTCTCCTCGCTCGACACACGGCTGCCCCCCTTGGGCAGGGGGAAGGGGAACACCCCCGTGCCCCCCTCCCCGGAGGCAGCTGGCGCATCCTCAGCGTCGCTGTCGGAGGAAAGCCGGGCCCTGCACCGGAAAGGTGGGGGGGGGGGAGAGATTTTTTTTAGGGTGCTCAATATAGGGGGGGGGTCCCCACCCCATCAGATGCCGGGGTCCTCACCTGGGGAGCGGGCAGTGGGAGTGGAGCTGTTTTGCTCGGCAGGGAGAGGCGCTGGGGGGGCCGGTGGGGGTCTGCGGCAGCAAGGAGGGGTCCTGCTGGGGGGGGGGCAGCGGTTCCTTCCCGGGGGGGCTCCTCTCCTTCGGGGACTCGCCCTTGCGGGAGCTGGCCTTCAGCTCGGCCACCAGCACGTCAAAGTCCTTGGCCCGACCCTGCACCTCGCGGCGCTGGTGGACGGAGTGGATCTGTGCCGGGTGACAGCGGGGAGCGGGTAAGAAAACACCCGTTGAGATACACACCCATCCCACCAAACCCACCCCCCCCCAAAAAAAAAAACCCTCGGGCAGGATGATGATGGTGTCCCCCACCCCGGCATCCCGCTACCTTGCAGGTCAGCAAGCGGGTGCAGATCTTCTTGGTGTCGGGGTTGAGCACGCCGCACTGCCTGTTCAGGTCGCACTCCTTGCCTGCGGGCAGAGGAAGGCAGCGGGATGCCGGGGGGGGGCCGAGGGGGGGGGGGGGTGCTGAGCTGTGGTTTTGGGGGAAGGGGGGCAGGGAACAAGGGCTTTGCCCCCCCGCCCCACCCATGTCTGGCCCTGGTTGAGGTTTCCGCTGGTGTGGATGGCAGGATGAGAGCGGCGGCGGCAGGGGGGGCTCCAGCGGCTGTTGGCAGGGGGGGTGGGGGGCATGGCCTCACTGGAACTGCCATGGGGCTGGGGGGGGGGGTGCTCAGCGGGGGTCACCCCAACCCACCCCGGCCACAGCTAGAGATGGAGACCCCCCCCCATCCTTGGAGCGAGAGGCCGCAGCATCCCCGCTCCGGGGTGGGGGGGCAACAGCCCCAAGAGTCATGTGGGACAGGGGAGGGCCACCATCCCCTGGTGTCCCCCCCCCTTCTTTTGCCCCCTCCCTGGGGTGAACCCCCCCCCCCCCCCCTTCTTTCACCCCCAGCCTGGGTTCTGCTAATGGCATCGCTCACTGTCACCCGAGGGTGCCCGCGAGCACCGCAGCATGTCCGACTCCCACATTTTGGGGGGGGGGGGGACACGCACAATGGGGAGGGGACGGGGGGACGCGAGGTGGGGAGGGTGGGGGGGTGGGGAGGGGGGGGGCGGGGTTCAACCCTGGCTCACGCTCTTGCCGCACGCCGCCGCCGCCGTTCCTCCGGGCCAGCCGGCACCGCGGGCAGAGACCCTAAACCTGCCGGGTGAACGGAGCTGCGGTCAGGGCACGGCCCCGCCGGGCGCGGGAGCAGAGGCGGGAGATGCCCCCTCGGTACCTACCCCGCTGCCAGACCCGGCCGCCGAAAGAACGGGACCGGGATGCCGCGCCGGGATCCGGTGCCGTGCGGCACCGACTTGCCGCCCCCACCCCGTCGCCGGCAAGGAAAGGGGGACTCACGCGCCAGCTTCTTGTGGGACCTGGGGGGCGGCTTGGAGGCGCCCGCGTCCTTCTCCCCCGGGGCGGGCGCGCTCTCCGGTTTGCACCCGGGGCCGTCGGCGGGCATCGCCGAATCCCCCCCGACCCCGGCTGGCACCGGGGGCTCTTTCGGCACCGCGGCGGTGGCGGGTTTCCCCACGGGTTCCTTGGAGTTGGTGGGTACGGCTTTGGGGGGCACCTTGATCCCGTGCCCGTCCGGTTTGGGGATGCTGGGAATCTTCTCCAGGTTGACCACGGGCACGAACAAGCTGAAAGAAAATTCAGGGGGTCGAGGCGAGGTGGGGGGGGGGGGGGGGGCGGGTCAGAATGGCCCCGCGGCACGGAGAGGGCAGAGCCGTCCGTCCCGGTGCTCACCAGAGGTTGTTGTCCTTGTCCGGTCGCTCGGGCAGGGGCTGGACTCGCCCGCGGGCACCCGGGGGCTTCTCCCGCAGCGCCTTGGCCGCGCCGGGGGTCCCGCCGGCCACCGGCTGCCCGTTGACGGCGACGTGGCACTTGGCGGCGGCGCGGGCGTACAGCTTGCTGAGCGGGCCGTGGCGGCGTTCTGCCGGGGACAGGGGTTTTTTGGGGGGAGCCTGGCATTAGCCCACACTGGGGGGGGGGGGGGTCCCACTGCTGTGAGCCCCTCCCCAACCCGTGTGCCAGCACAGCCAGCCCCAGCCGGCTTCCCGCATCCCTCCCGGTGCCGGCGGGGATGCCACGGCGGGGGGGGATAACCGTGCCTGGAGCCCCCCCTTCCCTGCCCCGGCTCACCGCAGTGTTTCTGGAAGGCTTGGGGCTTCACCACCTGGCTGCAGTGGTTGCAAACCACCAGGTAAAACTCGTCGTGTGCCGGGCAGTGGCCGAAAATGTTCATGTCTGCGGGGCGAGAGTTCGGTGAGCGGCACGGCACGGCTCTCGGTGAGACACCGCAGCCCAGGCTGGAAGGCAAGCACAGCCCCAAAACACCGGGTTTTCTCCCCAAAGGAGGGAGCTTACCTTCCTTAATCAGGGTCATGGCATCTAGCTTCTTGCCGCCGCTCTTCCCGCTCTCCTCCAGCTCCGACCCTGATCCTGTCAGAAAAAAAAACCCGTCAGCAGCGGCCGGCACGGGGACGGTGCCGGCTTCCCCCGGCCGCATCCAGCACGGGGTGCGGCCGCCGAGGCCTCGCCGCCACTCCCGGTCCTCAAACGCCGCCAGCACTCCCGGAATAATTAAACCAGCTAAAATTAGACCAGAGGGACGGATCCACCCCGGGATCAGGGTTGGCCCTCGTGGCGTGCCGAGGTCCCCGTCCCGCCACCCCATGCCGGTAGCCCCAGTGCCAGCGGGATGCTGGTGTTGCCGGGGACAGCCCCGTCCAGGCTGGGATGGGACACCCCCCGGGGACACCCCGGTCCCCAGCCGGTGTGGCCCCACAGCTGCTGCCCTCGCTGGATGTGCCCAACGGGTGTCCCAGTCCCAGGCTCTGCAGCGGGGGGACCAGTGTCAACCAGTGACGGTGTTCTGGTCGGCCACGCCATACTGGGGGCTCAGAGCCATCCGGCAGCGCTATACTGAGCACCCAGTGCTGTCCAGCGGTGCTATACTGAGCACCCAGTGCTGTCCAGTGGTGCTATACTGAGCACCCAGTGCTGTCCAGTGGTGCTATACTGAGCACCCAGTGCTGTCCAGTGGTGCTATACTGAGCACCCAGTGCTGTCCAGTGGTGCTATACTGAGCACCCAGTGCTGTCCGGCAGCGCTATACTGAGCACCCAGTGCTGTCCAGTGGTGCTATACTGAGCACCCAGTGCCGTCCGGCAGCGCTATACCGAGCACCCAGTGCTGTCCAGTGGTGCTATACCGAGCACCCAGTGCTGTCCAGCGGTGCTATACTGAGCACCCAGTGCTGTCCAGTGGTGTTATACCGAGCACCCAGTGCTGTCCAGCAGCGCTATACTGAGCACCCAGTGCACCCCCCAGCCCCATCGGGCCCTGCTGGAGCAGGTACCCAGCCCTGTCCAGCTGGGCCTTGCCGTACCGGGCGCCCAGCCAGGAGCGCCCGTGCCCCATCCAGCCATGCTGGGACCCCCCCCCCCCGCCCCCCCCCCCCAGCCCCCCCCAGCCCCCCCGGCCCCCCCAGCCCCCGCACAGGGCCCTGGGGTGCCTGTTCCCAGCGCCCACTGGAGCGGTTCCCACCCTCCCAGTACAGCGCGCCTGGCTCCCAGCGCAGGGTACCCCGGTACCGGGGGTCCCAGTACCCCCCTGCCCAGCTCTCGGCGCCCACTGCCCCGCCGCCCGGTCTAACGACGGCAACCGGTTTGGGGCCACCCCAGTTCCCGGCCCGGGCTACCCCAGTGCCCACCCGGCCCGGAGATTAGCCGACACCCGGGATGGGGCACCCGGGAACCGGCTCCCCGTCACGGGCGCACGGTTCCCAGCGACCCGCTCTGGGGTACCCCGGTGCCCGCTTACCGCGCGGCGGCGCTAGGACCGGGGGGGGGGGGCGGCGGGCGCGGCTCCGTTCTCGGCTCCGTTCTCGGTAGCCCCCCCCCCCACCCCCCTCCCGTCGCCCCCCCCCCCCCCCCTCCCGCCGCCACCGCCCCTCCTCACCCGGCTCGGCCGGCGGCCCGGCCCGCTCCACCCAGGCGCTCCAGCTCTGCCCCGCGAACTCGTCGAGGCTGGGCAGCCGCCGCTCCGCCGCCATCGCCGCCGCCGCGCGCCCACGCGCCGCCATCGCCGCCGCCGCCGCCGCCGCCGCGGGAGCGCGCACCGCCCCCCCCCCCCCCCGCCTCTCCGCCGCCACCGCCCCCGCCCCGGCGCCCCCCCCCCTTCCTGCGCATGCGCCGAGCCCGCCCGCCCCAGGGCACCACGGGAGGTGTAGTCCCGCTGCCCGCCCCGCCCCGGGAGCTGGACGGGGCTGGGGACCGGGGGGTCCTGAGCACCCCCTGGGCGGGGCTGGGGACCCCGGGATGACGTGGGATCCCTGTATAGGGACTGGGCACCCGGAGGTTGCGTACAGCCCCTATACGGGGCTGGGGACCCGGGGGTCCTATAGACCCCCTATAAAGAACTGGGGACCTGGAGGTTGTCCCTATACAGGACTGGGGACCCAGGGGTGAAATCTACTCCCTGTATAGGACTGCGGACTCGGGGGTTATGTATAGCTCCTATACAGAGCTGGGCCCGGCGGTCTATATACCCCTATACAGGGCTGTGGTCCCGGAGGTCCTATATACCCCCTATAAAGAGCTGGGGGCCAAGGGGTGACATGTGCTCCCTATATAGGGCTGGGGACTCGGGGTGGTTATATATAGCACCTATATGGGGGTGGGACACAGGAGTCTATATACCTCTATACACGGCTGGGGACCCGGGGGCCCTATATACACTCTATAAAGAGCTGGGAACCCAGGGGATATACATACCCCCTGTGCAAGTCTGGGGACCCGAGGTTACCCTACACAGAGCTGGGGACCCAGGGGTGAAATCTACTCCCTGTATAGGACTGCGGACTCAGGGGTTATATGTAGCCCCTATATGGGGCTGGGCCCGGGGGTCTATATACCCCCTATACAGGGCTGAGGACCCAGGGGTTATCCCTATATGGGGCTAGGGACACAGGGATGACATATACTCCCTATATAGGACTGGGGGCTCAGGCTATCCCTATACATGGCTGGACAGCCAGGGAAGATATATACCCACTATGCAGGGCTGGGGACCCAGAGGTTCTATATAACCCCTATACAGAGCTAGAGACCCAGAGGTTCTATATAACCCCTATACAGGGCTGTAAACCTGGATTATCCCTGTACGGAGATGGACAGCCAGGGGTTACATATACCCCTTATACAGGGCTGCAGATCCGTGGGTTATATACAGCCCCTACATAAAGCTGGGGACCCAGGGGTTACCCCTATACAAAACTGTATTCCTAAGGGTTACATATACCGCCTATATGGGACTGGGGACCCTGGGGTTGTGCCTATATGAGGCTGAATGGCCAGGAGTGACATATACGCCCTATATAGAGCTGGGGACTCAGGAGTTATATATACCCCCTATACAGGGCTGAGGACCTGGGGTTCACCTTATACAGGGCTGGACAGCCAAGGGTGACATATATTGCCTATACAGGAATGGGGACCCAGGGTCTATATGTACTCCCTATATGGGGCAGGGGACCCTGGGGTTATCCCTATATGGGGCTGGACTCCCAAGGGTTATATATACCCCTGACACACGGCTGGACAGGCAGGGCTTATATATGATTCCCGTAACCAGCTGGGGACCCAGGGCTTATATGTTTCCCTATACAGAACTGGACATCCAGTTCTATAGAGTTGGACAGCGGGGGTTATCTGTGCCCTTATACAGGGCAGGACGCCCAGAGGTTACCCCTATAGAGAGCAGGACACCCAGGGGTTGTATATAGCCCCTATACATCAGCAGGTATCCAGTGTTTAATTACACCCTCTAGAGAGCTGGATACCCAGGGTTATATACAGTCCCTATACAGAGCTGGGCCCCCAGGCGTTATATATATACCTATACAGAGGTAGACATTCAGGTTTTAATATACATCCCCTACAGAGAGCAGGGCACCCAGGGCCTATATATCCTCCTTTGGACATTGGATGTCATCTATATATTATGGAGAGCAGGACACCAGGAGTTACCCCTATGCAGAGCAAAACACCTGGGAGTTATATATAGCCCCTATATGGAACTGAGCCCCTGGGACTTATATATATCCCTATAGAGAGCCGGACACCCAGGTGTGATGTATATCCTCATACGGAGCAGGACATCCAGGAGTTGTATATTCCCCCTATATAGAGCCAGACACCGGGGGTTCTACGCACCCCAATATAGAGCTGGGACCCAGGACTTTTATATGCACCCCGTACAGACGTGGACACCCCGGGGTTACGCACAGAGCCCCCCCCTGTACAGCACAGGGTTGTGCAGACCCCTATATACAGCAGCGGTTAATGCCCCCCCCCCCCACCCAGGGTCACGCATCCCTCCCCCCTCCAGCATCCATACCACCCCGCGGGTCGCACCCCAGGGCCAGCGGCACCCCGTCCCCGGGCCGGCGGCCGGCGCGGGGTCCCGGGGGACGGGGCGGGGGGGGGGGACCCCCGGGGTGGCTACTGCTTGTCGATGGCACCCTGCTCGGAGGCGCTGTCGCGGGGCGCAGCCTGCGCCTGCCACGCTGTCTCCTTCAGCACGAACCAGCAGTTCCCGGCCCACAGCACGAAGTTGATGAAGCCGAAGAGCTGGGGGGCGGGGGGGGGGGGGGGAGCAGGGGGGAAGGAGAGGAGAGACCCCCATCCGGGGGGAGAGGGGGGGGGCACCCATGGGTGAGCTCTGGCCACAGAGCACACCCCATGCGCCCAACGCGCCCCACGCAATCTGTGCGCCCTGGGTGCTTCGGTGTGCTTCGTGCAACGCGTGCGACGCATGCACCCCGTGCGCCCCATGCACCTCATGCACCCTCTGCACCCTGTTTGCCTCGGTGTGCTTCATGCAACCCAACCACCTAGTGCACCCCATGCACCTCATGCACCCTCTGCACCCTGTTTGCCTCGGTGTGCTTCATGCAACCCAACCACCTTGTGCACCCCATGCACCTTGTGCAATTTATGCACCCTGTGTGCCCCATGCTCCCTGTGCACCCCGTGTAACCTATGCACCCTGTGTGCCCCATGCACCCCGTGTAACCTATGCACCCTGTGCGCCCCGTGCATCCCGTGCAACCACCCTGTGTGCGCCGTGCACACTGTGCACCCCGTGCAACCTATGCACCCTGTGTGCCCTGTGTGCCCCGTGCAACCTATGCACCCTGTGTGCCCCATGCACCCCGTGCACCCCATGCAACCTATGCACCCTGTGTGCCCCGTGCACCCCGTGCAACCTATGCACCCTGTGTGCCCTGTGCCCCCCATGCACCCCGTGCAACCTATGCACCCTGTGTGTCCCATGCACCCTGTGCACCCCATGCACCCTGTGCAATCTATGCACCCTGTGTGCCCCATGCGCCCTGTGCACCCTGTGCGCTCTGTGCACCTCATGCTCCCCACGTATGTCATGCAACCTATGCACCCCGTGTTTCCCATGCACCCTTGTGCACCCCGTGCACCCCGTGTGCCCCATGCACTCCATGCACCTCATGCAATCCATGCATCCCGTGCGCTTCAGTGTGTTTCATGCAACCCACTGCACCTCATGCACCCTGTGTGCCTCATGCACCCTGTGTACCCCATGCACCTCATACACCTCATTCACTCCATGCACCCTCTGCACCCCATGTATCCCATGCACCCCATACACCTCACACACCCCATGCACCCCAAGCGCCCATGCCAGGGGCTGTGTCACCACCGCCCACCCTGGCGTGGGGGTCCCCTATGGCTCGGGGGGGGGTCTCATGCGGGGTGCAGGATGGGTCCCGTGTCCCATGGGACCAGGGTGGAGTTGGCACCGTGGCCGTGGAGCGCGTGTGCGCACGATTCCACCGCCCCCCCCCCCCAGCTGAGTTTGGGAATCCGGCATGCATGTGCGGGCATGAGGGCTCGCATGTGTGAGCGGGCAGGCGTGCGCTCCCACGTGTGTGCACGGCGTGTCCACGCGCATTCTCAGGTGAACGCGCATGCGCGCTCCACGTGCATGGGTTTGGCAGGCGTGTGCGGGCGTACACCCACGCGTGCGCACATACGTGGCACATGCGTGCAGGCACGCGTGCCCCCACGAAGGGCCGGGAGCCGCCGAGCTCTCCGTGAAGCACCGTCAACCTCTCCCCCAGGCAAACAGACAAACACCCGTGCCCGCGTGCGCGTGCCTGGACATCCACCCACGCGTGAACGTGTCCGCGCGCGTGTGCCTACACCCCGCCTGCCTCGCCGTGCACCGCCGCCCGGCTCTCACCACCGAGATGTTGGCCAGCCCCATGGCCGGCGTGGCGCCGGCGTTGCAGACCGCCTCCTGGCAGACCCCCATGGCGGCGATGAGGCTGGCGGGCCGCGTGGCCGCCTTGACGTCGGTGAGCCCCTTGCCCCACGCCGCCGCCGCCACCAGCCAGAAGAAGGCGAAGCAGACGGTGACACAGAAATCCTGCCGGGATGGGGACACCGGGCTCAGCCCCGACCCCGGCACCCAGCGGTGCAGGATCCGTCCCCGCGCCCCTCCTCGGGGATGCAGCCGCCTTACCGCGAAGGGGAGCCTCTTGTTTTCGCCGTAGAGGGAATGAAAGCGCAGGTAAAGCACCAGAGCCGCCATGGCATAGAGGAAGGAGAAGACCCCCAGGGTCACAAAAAATTCGGCGGGAGCGGAGAAATCGCCGACGAGGTGCAGGGTTTGGGTCTTCGACTCCTCCTTGCAGTCCGGCATCTCGAAGGGGATCTGGTATAACCTGGGATGGCAGGAGGGGGATGGCAGGGGGCCCGGGAACGGCGGGGCCGATGGGGTATGGCTCTGCCAGCCCGAAATAACCGCGCTGGGGTGAGCCGCTGAGGACGGAGGGCACGGACCCGCTGCCGAGGCAGAACCTGGACCCTTTGTCACAGCCTGATGTCCCAGCATGGGGCCGGTGACCATGGGAAGGGGTTAAAATCGTGGCTCACAGCTGGCCCGGCTCCATCCTCATGTTCCCTGATTAATGAGGATCTCCCCGGTCTTCCCTGATGAAGGAGGATCCCCGGGGACGGTGTCGGGAACCGGAGCCAGGGAATATCTCGTGGTGCTGGGGGTGCAGAGGGTCCCCAGCCAGCCACGGCACCTCCCTGCCCCACAGCAGCCGTGGCTGTGGTCCCATGGGGGTCCCAGCAGCTGGGATGGTGTTTAACCTCATCCCAGCACCCCACGTTCCTCCCAGCTCACTGTGGAGCCATGCTGGGCGCTGGGGTGGGTTCCTGGGCCGGAGAGGGGGGGGGGATGTCCAGGCTCGGCACCCCCTCACCTGAAGGGGTACCCGAACTGGACGGAAATGGCGCTCATCTCTTTGGTTTCACTGCTGCATTTCACCGTCGCGCCGGTCTCGCCGCTGAAGGAGCCGCAGGCCCCGAAGGCGAAGATGGCGAAGAGCTATGGGAGAGAAGCAGCGGGTTGAGGCGAAGGGAGGGGGGGGGGGGGGCTCAAGACCCTAGGGACCCCTGCACCCTGGGGTGGGATCCACCCACAAGGGGTTTGCAACCCCCTGGCGCTGAGTCACGGCGGCCGCGGCGCTGCAGGGCGAGCTGCCACCCCGCAGCTGTCGGCCTCGTGCGCCAGCGCCGCCGGCACCGGGGTTTGCGGCCGAGGGCGAAACGGGGCAGCAGCAGGGGACGATGCTCGTGGGGGGGGCAGGAAGGCCAACCCCTGCCCTTCATTTTAGGCAGGGTGCTGAGCACCCCCCCAGCAAACCGGGAGCATCCCTACGGTGGGACCCCCAGGGTCATCCTGCTGGCATCGGTCCCCCCTCCCGCTGCCATTTCCCGTCCCCCCGGCGCTGAGCTGCTCTCAGCTCCGGCGGAGGGTGCTGGGAAAACGTTCCCAAATATTTTTCTGGCAACTCATCCTGGCTGAGCTCACGGCTTCCCGGGGCTGGCCGGGTGAAGGGGGAAAAGCCGAGCGGCCAGGCCTGATGCCGTGGGGATGGGCAGGCCCACGTGCGGCACCGGGGGTTGAAGCAGGAGCATTGGTGGCCACCCCGGGATTTTCCTCCCGCTTTTGGCTTCAGGGTGTCTGCGCACGCAGGGCCTGATCCTGCACGGCGGCCCCGCTGGCAGTGGGTGCCCAGCACCTCCCCGGGTGGGATTATCCAAAGCAAAGAGCCACGGGACCGGAGGAAAAGCTCCCTTGACCCAGCCCCTCTGGGTGGGAGATGCCCAAATGGGTCTGACCTCGCACCCCGGTGCTGAACAACCCCCCCTGCCCCGTGCCTCAGTTTCCCCAGCACTGGCACCGGGGCGTGGGGCCATCTGGGAGCCCCCCGGCCATGACGAGGCCGTGTCGCAGAAATGCCGCCCTGAAATACAATCCCGGAGCCATTCATGGCACGGCCGGGACAGGGCCGGGGCTGCGGGCACTTGGCTCCCCCCGTCCCTGGGGTCCCCCCTCCTGGGGCCTGATGACCCCCCCCCAGCCCCTCTCCCCACCCACTCACCCAATGCCCCCCGAGCCTGTGGGAATGACGGGGATGTGGGATCCCAATGTCACTGTCCCCTCTGGCATGGCCGGGCAAAGCCACCTGCTCAAGGTCACTGGGGGGGCCACACAGCCCAAATCCAGGCGGCTCCGCACCCCACTGCCCCCAGACTCCCCCCCAGGATGGGGTCCCCACGCTCAGGGCCACTGGGGTGGGGGAGGCTCCAGAGGGGCAGGGGGAGCTCCAGGATCCTCTCGTCCGGGGGGGGCTTTAGGAAAGCACCCCAAATCTGGGGGTGGGGGGGAAAGTGCCAGATAAGGGGCATAGGGGACCAGCACCCAGGGGTGCTGGGGAAGGGGCTGTGCCCGGGGGGGTGGTCCTGGTGCTGGGATCGGGTAGGGCATGGGAGGACACACACCGCGGGGGGGGACACTCACCCATTCCAGCACCTTGATGAAGCCCAGGGGCTCCAGGAGACGGCCCCAGCGCACCCCACCCAGGACACGGTCCTGCAGGGAGAGAGCGGCGGGAGCCGGGGCACCGGGGGCTGCCCTGGGCGGGGGGCTTCCCCGGGGGAACGGCAACAGGGGGATTGGGGTGGCTACACCGGGGGACCCTTGGGCTGCACCGGGAGTTGCCCCGGGCGGAGAGCTGCACCGGAGAACGGGATCGCTGCACCGGCCACGGCACCGGGACAGCTGAGAGCTGCACCGGGACACTGGGAAGCTGCACCGGGGGTCACGCAGGACGGCTGCACCCGGACACCGCGGGCTGCACCGGGGGGTGGCACCGCGATACCCAAGGGGCTGCACCGGGAGTGGCACCGAGACACCGAAGGGGCTGCACCGGTGGGGGTTGCACTGGGAAGACCGCAGGCTGCACCGGGGGTCGCACCGGGCCACCGAGGGGCCGCACCGGGAGCTCGCCTCGAGCACCGGGGAGGGGGGGTTGGTGGCACCGGAGCCCTACCTGGAGCCTGGGCGTTTTGTCACCGGCCGCGGGGGCGCCGGGCTCCGACATGGCCGGGCCGGGGGGGGGGGGGTCGGTGCTGCCTCCGCCGCCCGCTGGGACCGCTCCGCTGTCAGAGCCGCCACCGGGAACCCCACCGCCCCCCCCCGAGGGAGGGCAGCGCCGCCCCGCCCCCGGCAGGGCCCCCGGTCCGCCCCCGGACACCCCCGGGACAGCCCCCCGCCCCCGGTCCCTCCGCCCAGCCCACAGCGGGATGGGCAGCTCCCCCCCCGCCTCCGCCGCAGGGTGTCCGTCCGTCCGTTCATCTGCTCGTCCGTCCCTCAGTTAGTCCCCCACGGAACGGGACGGAGCCCCCCGGGGCCGTGTCGGTACCCGGGTCCCAGTGCTGTGCCCTCAGTCCCGTCGGGGCCGGTAACGGGAGCTCTGGGCACCGCACCGGGAGCCGGCACGGCCCCGGAGTACCCCGAGGCATCCCGGTGCCCCCGCCCCGGCAGCCCCTCCCCGGTACCCCGGGTCCGGTAAACCCCGCCCGCTGCCCGCGGGGTGCCCCCGCCCCGCCCCTCTAGCGCCATGGCTCCTCCCCCTCGATTAGACCCCGCCCCCCATGGCCGGCCACGCCCCCTCGCCCCTGACCCCGCCCCTCCCCTGCGCTTCCTCCAATCCCCGCCGGCGGCCGCTCCTCCCCTCCCCACATCGCCGAGCCCGCCCTCCCCGTCCTCTCATTGGCTAGATGGAATGCGGTGCCGGCCAATGGGAAGGCGGCGCGGGGGGAAGTGGGGCGGAGGGGCGGGGCGGCGCCTGCGCGCTGCGGGCCCGTTGGCCGGAAGCGGTGGAGAAGAAACCGGCGAGGCCCGAGCCGCGCTCCCGCCTCCGCCGCCCGTTCCCCCCCCCCGCCGCCCCTCGCCGCCGCCATGTTCCTCACACGCTCCGAGTACGACCGGTGAGTGTTCACACCCCCCCGTTTGCCCCTTGCCGGCGCCCTCCCCGCCGTCCGCGGCCTGCGGCTGAGTCACGGGCCTGCGGCCGGTCGCCGCCCGCCCCGTCCCGGTGGCCCCGGCCGGCTCCTCTCGCCTGCAGCCGCCGCGGGGCCGCGCTGAGGAGCCGGCGGAGAGGCCGCAGCCTTATTGAGTCTCTACTCGTCGTCCCGCCCGGGCCCGTGGCGGTTTGAGCCCGTCCCCTTCTTGAGGCGCGCTCTGACCCCTGTTTTTATTTTCTTTGGGTCTCGGAGAGCCCGGTTCTGCTAAATACAGGGGAAGGGGTGGCATGTTCTGTTTCACCGCGGGCTCCCCGTGTTTAAAGGCCCCCTGTTCAAAGGGAGGCTGCGTGCGGGGTCCCTGGGGGCCAGGGGTGTGTGTGTGTGTTATGAGGCTGCAGTTTATTTTGCTGAGTGTTTCCTGAAAGCGGGTGGCTTTTAATAAATCCCTTGTAGGGTTTTGTGTACGAAGTCCTCCGGGCACAGTGCTTCTCTTGGCCCCCGGCACAAGGAGACTGACGGAGGGGGGCAGAGCCATCTCCGGGAGGAGCGGGGAAGGTCAGGCTGGGCTGGTGTGTGGGGACATGGTGGGGTATCCCGGGAAAGGAACGGGTCTGCGCTGCGGAAATGAAATCCTGCTGTCTCCTGGCATGGAGAGAAGACACAGTGTTTGGAGCCTGAAGTGTTTCCAGCATCCACAGCGTGAAGTGTGCCGTGAAAACAAACCTCCTCCTGGCTGGTAACTGGAGCTGCTGGCGTTGCTTTTGTTCTCTTTCCCCGTTAAGCATCCTCGATCCGGACCCTGGGAGCGTCTGCAGGGAGGGCGATGGGCTCCAGCGAAGCTGTGACGTGTTCCAGCTGCCCTTCCTGCGTCACCCATCCCCAGCTCTTGGATAAAGAACGGCATTTCTTCTCAGCCTTTGCTTTCCTGCCCTTTATGCAGTTTCTGGTGTTGTTCTTGCAGGGGTGTGAACACTTTTTCTCCGGAGGGGAGGCTGTTCCAAGTGGAGTATGCCATCGAGGCCATAAAGGTATCGTCAACTCCATCTCGTTGCCAAACTGTGACCCTTTGGGGCGCTTCCAGACCCAAAGCTTGGGTTTGGTCAGAAATAAACCAGGCAGGTCCTGCTCCTTGGGGCTCTGGCCTGGCGCTGCAGCGAGGCAGGGTTTGGCTGCCTCCCGGGACGGTACGCAGTGTGGAGTGGGAGCTGCTGCCTCTCCCCCCAGGCGCCGCTCCTGCGTGCGAGCGCTCCGGCAGCTCTTTGCCAACCTTCCACCTACGGTTTGTAGTAAGAGAGCTGTGTGCCAATGTTCAATTCCTCCTGTCTGGCCAAACCTCCTGCACCTCTGCTCTTGTATGGGTTGTAGAGAATCCAAAGCCATTGATTTCCCCAATGCAGGGGCATGTTCCCCTCCCTGTCTCCTACCAATCAGTTTATCCCCAAACCAAACACAATCCAAAGATGCTAATCCCCAAATCAGACTTACTAGAAGCTAACACTGAAGCAAGAGATCCTGAAGGCTTGTACACTGTGACTGTGCCTACAAAGCTGGCGCTGCCCTTCACATCTGTAAACACTTGTCTAAGAGCTGCTTTCTTTTCACCTCTCTGATCAAATGCAGTGTTCTCTTCTGGTCCATGGGCTTTATAAAGACAAGAGTCCCTTAAAAAAAATCCCCAAGTGGCGATATTGCTAGGTCATCTTTCCTTTTCTTAGCTCGCTGCTGTTGCAGCTTGGAGTAGGTCACCGTTTGCTCAGGTGAATTTTGAAACCTGAAGGTAAATGTTATGAGCAAACTAAACTACCCCTGCAGAGCTGACTGGCCTTTCTGGGGCGTTAACTATTCTTAATTGACAAATGTTCTTGTTTCTGAGGATGTGGGTGTTGACTGGGAATAAGTTTAAAATTGGGGGAAACTGGTCAAGTGATGAAGTGAAGAAGCTCCGAGCAGGCCTGCGTTTGGACTGGGGAAAAGGAGGGTGCTGGCTTTGTTTTCCCTGTACTGCTTTAGCTCATTAAAGCACCAAAATGAGGAGGCAAAAAGTGATAATGTTTATTAAGGCACTGGGAAGTACGAACTCTCAAGAGGATGTCAGTCACCATGCTGACTTTATAATTACAAATCCATCTACTAGAGCAGCAATCATACGGAAACCTTCTGGCTTCACCCTTTTTTCCAGATCAGCCCATAAGCTTACTGGTGGAATTGCTGCAGCTCGGGCGGCTCTTGCAACACATTGTGTGTGGTGCCTGTGTGTTAGGGGTGTAAGAGGAGTTTTTTTTTCATGTGCTGTAGCTTCATTAACAAATACATTTGAAATGACATCAGGTGTCCCTTCTTCCCTTGGGGGTTGTGTGCAGCTGTGGCAGACTGCGTGCTTAAAGATGGGAGTGTTGAGCAATGTCTGAAACCAAGTGCCTGCAATGGGGAGATTCCCCTCTGCCAGGCCTGTGGTTATATGTGTAGTTACCTGGGGAAGCTTACTGCTAAAGTTCAGAGCCAGCATCTCCACACTGCAGCTTGTATGATTATTCCAGTAAATTCACCAGCGTGGAAAAGCTGTGAGTGCTGGGAGCAAGGTTGGGGCTGGTGGGAGCAAGGTGGGGGCTGTCAGGAGTCCTTGAGATCTGACCCCCCCCCCCCCCTCAGCTTTGGTGACACTGTGGTGGCAAGACCAGGGTAAAACTTGCTGCGGTCTCAGCTGTGGGTGATTAACTGCTGCCTGGAAAACAGTGTGTGTGTGCAAAATACTCTTGTTCCTATTGTAAATTTTGTGGATGCATGAACACTTGGGAGAAAAAGAGCTAAGGGAAAGAAAAATGCCCAAGCCAGAGGTACAGATGCAGTCAGAATTAAGGCCGCTATGTGAAATCCTCCTCTCGCGCTTTAAATTTTAATTTCTGTCTTGCAAAGGAAGGTTTGCAAGGCCTTTTAAATTCACAAGGCTTTGAGCTGTAAAAATTGATGTTGCTCGGGGAAGAGATTAATGATTTGCAGCAGCCCTGCTGGGTTCTTATGAACTGATCAGCTGGGAAGTACCATGGTTCTAACCTTTCCAGTTTCCAAGTTCAAGTCATGCCGTTTAAAATTTGGTGTGCAAAGCTGTAGAGTCTTGCGGGTGGGTTTCTGTGTTGGCGATGTGATTGTCTCCAAAACAAAATGCCTATGAATAAGAGAAGTCAAAATTAACATTGCACCATTTATATTTATGCGCGCTGTCGCGGCCCGACCCTGTGGTGGGTGCGGTGGTGGTAACGGTGTGGTGGTTTTCAGCTTGGTTCCACGGCCATCGGGATCCAGACCTCGGAGGGTGTCTGCCTGGCCGTGGAGAAGAGGATCACCTCCCCGCTCATGGAACCCAGCAGCATCGAGAAGATTGTAGAAATTGATTCCCACATAGGTAAGGAGAAAGGAGTGCCTCTCTGGTAGAGCCCTGGGAGCACCCCCCAAGTTTTGGAGATATATTTATTTAAGACTGTCCCCTGGGAGGGTCAGAAGTGGCGTTTCAGGGCTAACCTTCCCTGCAGGCAGCTCTGCCGAGCTGAGCAGGGACTGTCATCCCTCCCAGTGAACACCAGGTCCTGGTCACTGGTTTTCCAGGCTCTGGGCCAGCAGGACATAGTTACAGGAGCAGGAAGAGGCAGCTGAAGCAACCCCCTTGCTTCAGTGACCTCCCTCATGAAAGCTTATCCCAAATTTAGATCTGGGAGGGCAGGGAATTACTGCAAAAGGCTTGACTCAAGGCCAGTTTCTCTCGGAGCACTAATGTTAGCCTGTACCCCTGCTCGCAGCAGCCTCCTGCACCGTGAGGGGGGCTGTGACGAGCTCATTACCAAATATGTCGCCTTGAAAAGCAAGAGACCTCCAAAATACCCATCTTGCTGGTGACGTGGGCCGTGGAAGGAGTTCCTGAAGAGTCTAATTTCCTCTTCCCATGTGCTTGTGATACAGCCCCTCTCTTCCTGGAGCAGGATCTGTCCCAGAGACTCCTGCTGCATCTTCCCCCCCTGCTGTGGGTTAGCCAGCCCTCCCCGTGACATGGGGGATGAATGAATTCCCCTTCCAAACAGGTTGTGTTTCTGTTGGTTAGCTTCTCCTGGAAGGCCTCGAATGTGGCTCCTTTAACTGGTTGGTTATGGTTTGGGGCACATGGGAGGTGTGACTGGGAGAACTCGATTATGTACCTGC